TTCAACGTGTCACCAACTTTGGATTGGTAATAGTCCTGAACCAGGTAGCGAATCGCATCCAAGTCCTGTTCCAGTTTGGCCATACTTTCCTCTTGTCGGCGCATCTGAAAGGACATTTCAAGTTAGGGAAAGAAGCTTGGTCAGACATAAGTAGGAATAACGCGTGAAAGATGCTCCTTATATAACCAAGTGAATAATCGAAGATCTTCTCTTCCATTTTGTCACGATGGTAATTCCTTATCTATGTTATAAGGAAATTGGATAGCGCGAGCAAAACTGCGAGCTTGGATATAGACTTAATTATTAGGCGCATATTGTATAAGCGATTAAACCGGTAGTACCATAGGCTTCTCGTCCAGCACATCTGTGGGACTATAAGCTTAATTAAAACAGCAACCACCAATTGTTCAGCCGTGTATGACCATCATATGATACCTCAGCATCCCTCACGGGCACAACTTGCTGAAGTTGACCGCTACTTTCGTACCGAGCGGTTTGGTCCGCGATAGTCATCCCTCATAAACAACATTACATTATGCATTTTCATCCAGCCACCCTGTTTTCCGAGGGAGCCGCGCTTGCTACTTGTGAGCATACACTACAGCTCCTTTCACGCGAGCTCCAGACGTAAACAATCGATGATGGCTGCGCATTGGATTATGGGGCACGCTTTAAAAATTACCCGGACCGCTTGAACGTTCGTCACAAAGGGAGCACCAGATAAGATAAGGAAGAAAGAATGGATAACATCCGAAAGGTAGTGAAAGCGCTAATCGTGCAACCGAACTATCGTCATAAAACATGTTCGAAAAAAGAAAAATACTTGCGACTCGGAACAAATGTTATTTCAACGAAGGTTGTCAAAGAACTAGTGAGGTGACAAAAGAATCCAAATTAAGCGGTTCATACCATTTTCTCAGCAACTCCCATTGTCATTGCCGTCGAGTCAAACGCGACTTGTTCTGCCTCGCTCTCGGACATTGAGTCAGCTAGAAAACATATTGTAGCATCACTTCTTCACATATGCCAGCAAAGTTTTTCCGATATATTCGAGTGACCGAGTTTCAACTGTCTACTTGCTTCAAATTTTCACGTTGCAATCCCATCGCCAACATACTGCATACTTTAGCCATTTAGAAGATCACAAGAACCAGACAAAAGGGATATCAGGCCATGAAAATGACTAACTCTTAACGACTTCTAATGACTAACTTTTGATTCCCAGCAGACGACTTATATCGGGATTCTCTCCGCGTGCTAACCGCTCAACTGTTTCCTTCAGGCATTTTACAAGTAATCGACTATCCACCAGTTTCTTCTGGGTTGACCTAAACAGAGCCAACAATAGAATCAGAGAACTAATCGACTGTAATTTATTTAAAAGGTCCATAGCCAAGTAAATCACCTTAAACTCCTGCTCATGGCAGCGGAAACATCGTCTCTTCGATTGCAATTTGCATCGATGGCATAATTAGAGAGACTTTTTGTCAGACCTCCAGTCTTGGGGCGAGGTTGAGGACTCAAATTGGCGCCCAAAGTTGAATGAGCCTGTAATAAAAAGTCCATGTAAAATTAAGAAAATAAACGAAGAATGCAAAAATCACTATCTGTTGTTTCGAGAATATTGGCTTGGACATATGTTCAATGCTACAAAGAAAAAAAACCTAACAAGTAGAAATCTGCTGTGTCAACTACAGAAACAGTCCTGTGACAGATATTCACGTGATGAGCACTGAATGGGTTACCGGCGTCGGAATTTAGGAAAAAATGCGAAATGCTTTCAAGAAAGAAACACATCCACATGGAGAACCACAATACTGATTCTTCGAGAACGAGGTGTACTACGAATACACTGATTACGGAGTTCGATGTATTTACATGAACCACATATGCTAAACTTCATCCGATTCTGGATGGAGAATGTAAATTCCCTTCCATGCGTGAATTCTTTTATAATGCCTCCCTGTTCTTGAACGTCTTCAAACCGCTTTCACCTTATAATATTTGAATGCACATCTCATAGACAATCCCAGGCAAACCCTGCATATCAGGTCAATCATATTTCCACAACATCGGCAAGCATAAAAAGCGCAAGAGTATAGAGAATGTTCTCGATTTCAGTTCGACTTTCTGTCGTTCTAATCCTGATGGGCACACACAAAAACCTGGTTTTCTTTGCGTGTTAAACACGCACTTGGGGGAGGGGAGGGGCGGGGGGGTACAGCGCTGGGAAACGCTTGACTTCAATTTTAACAGCAGCATATCATGAATTCTACGAAACGACTCCCTTGAAACGAGCCGAAGTCCCACTCTTCAGTACCGCCGGTTTCCACAATGAAGCTCCATAAGCAACGAAAAAGCGGCTGTCTACGAATTTGTTTTACACCAACATCAAAATTTGAATGCTCATCAGCCAAACCAGTCAAGTTCTTATGCCAGCCCTAATTTCAGCTCTTTGACTCAGATGGCACTTTCATGAATCGGCACAGCATCCATCGTTTCTGGCGTTTCTGAAAACTATGAGTGGTGGTGCCCCTAATTACGACTAACGTAAGATTTGAATTTACTTCTCACTTTTCGAAAAAAAGGTCAAGTATCTATGTCATCCCATGTTTCCTGAGATTCCTCTTCTCTTCAGCGTTATCGAGCAACGGTCTACATATGAAGAAATAAGAAAGTCTTACTTTGATACAGTGCCCATCAATGGATGACCATTTATACTAGTTAGTCCAGAATATTAGCCCATGTCCTGAGTGGCCCAAGAACTTCATCAAAGAAAGGGCTGTGAACCACTTTTGTAATCACTCCTACCCCCTCTTTACATAGCGAAATGTACCCAGGCAATTCGAACCCAAAGAGCTCCGACGACCCCCGATTTCACGTTTTGACGCAATAGTTATACCTGCTACCTATGCCGATACACCTTTTAGTAGAAAATAACGAAGTTAGATCAAAGTGGTGAAAGTGAAATCAAACGACACCATTGTTTAAAGAAACGCCAGAACGATGGATGCTGAGCCGATTAAAGAAAGTTTCATCAATGCCAGAAATTAGGGGGAAGGCATCAGCAATTGACTAGCAGTGTATCTGAGCATTCACGTGCAGTAGTGGGTCAAATCAGACTCGTAGATGAGTGCTTCTTAAACTAGTGCTGACAGGAATTGAATCCTGGCCGGTCATGAGGTTCAAGAGTGAAGATCAGCTACTATTATAAAGATTAGCTAATTTTGGAAATAGAAATGTAGTTTTGAATCCAAAATCCAGAAAACTTGTGAAATACTTGAATAATCACGAATTCGCAACCTCAGCCTAGCTTACTCAAAACATATTCCCTCCTTCTCCATTGGAAAGGCGATACACAGGTTCAGTACACAGAAGAAAACAGGAAGAAAAAAGCTCCGTAGAGTGAAAAAAGTTACTAATCCATCGAGGTGGAGGTACATGAAGTACTATTTGCAAAGACAAGAGAATTAGGCGAAATTGATCCTTCTAAATTTCGTATAAACCTTCGTATATGGACGAGCCGGAGTGAATGGAGGTCTGATTTCAGCTAGGGACTCGGTTTCGTCGGCGAGAGGAGTCGACCCGGATGAGCAGGACTGCTGATAGAGGGTTGCTTCCATTCGCATCGACTTAAAAAGTACAAGTTCGTGTTGCAGCATAGCCGAATAAATAAACAATAGAATTGTAACGAGTTTTCTAAGTAAACGAGGATCAGCTAAAGCCACTCACCGCAATGTGACGTTCCAACTCCTTTACTGTATTCTCTTTAGAATCCAGGGTCTGGTTCAAAGTATCGTTCTGCAGCTCCAAATAGTCCAACTCTTTTTTCAGTTCTTCATAGCTTTTCGCCATCTTTTCCCTTTCTGCCAATTCGCTGCGCAGCCGTGCGATCTCTTTCTCCTAAATTACAGAAGTTGTCCTACGGAGTTCTGTTCGAAAGTTTGTAATGGAAACGTTTCCTACTTACCTGGGCTCTGATCTTCTCTTGCGTCTCTGCTATAGCATTCAGCTGCCCGCTATCGAGCGTTTTCGCCCTTTCTTGATACTTTACGGATTCAGCTTCGAGATCATTGAGCCTTAACAAATGTTCATCATTTTAAATTCAACTACTGCATCAAGGAAGAAGCCAGTCTTGTAGCTCTCCCCTTTCACTTACTTATTCACTACCCGGACCAGCTCCTCCTTAGCCTGCTCCGAATCTTTTTTAAACTTGCGCACTTCTTCATCGTAATCGGCTTGCTGGCGCTCCATTTGAGCATACGCTTTTCTTAGTTTTGCCTGAAACAAAGACAAATGAGGCTCAACAATGCAAATCTCCTAGTTCTCCGCTGGAGCTTACCTGGAGTCGTTCAATTTCTACCTCTTTACTAACGACCTCTTTCGCCATAAGTTGTTGGGTAACGGAGGATGACGGTGATGAGTTGGAAATGATAAGCTGCGTGGGTGGAGGGACATGTGAAGAGCGACCGTGACTATCTGAATAAAGCAAATTTCGATGCTTCCTGAATGGAATTTGTTCGATGCAATCAAATGTAATCGGATTGATGAACACACGCATAGTTTCACCGTA